GGTAAGGGTCAAAGCACCAAGGACCTGGCTTGTATTTGCCTTGCTTGGCTGGGGTAGGGCAGGACAGGGCTGGAGGGTGAAGGGCTGTGCTGCTTCTGGAAGCCTTGTGTGTCTCCTTGGCTCCGGATGCGTCCTGTGCACAGGACTGGCTTCCTGGCAGGTTTAGCTGAGCCAAAGGATGTCTGGGCTAAAAGCTCCCTCTCTGGCTCACCCCAGGGATCCTCCATGCACTGGTGCAGCTGCGAGCCCGGCGTGGCAGGGGTTAACTAAACCCGTATCAGAAATGCTGTCTGCACAGGGATGTGATTGACGGCTCTAGAAACAGGGCTTGGGATATGAATCATGGTCCTTGAGACCCAGCTCTGGGGCAAGACTGATGGCCCAAGAGACCTGCCAGGGCTATGATTGACAGCCCCTGAAATCTGGCTCTGCTGGGGCTGTCAATCACCTCTCAACCTGGTGCTGCATCACCCCGGGAAGGGGGAGCCCAGTTGCTTTCACTGGGTGCCCCTCTCAGCAGGGTACTCCTCCAGTCTACCCCCAGGCTCCATATCTGTGGCCTCGGGGTGCCCCTTGGGGCAGCACCCCTCCAGCTCCCAAAGGGATGTGTGCCTCTGGCCAGAAATCTTTGTCACCGCTGTGGCAGCGGGGTACTACATTGTCACCCGTCAGCGGACCTGGCTCTGGGGTGAAGTGCAGCGGCTGTTTCACTGGTTTTCCCAGTAGGTGAGATACCCCGTGCCTGAAATTTGAGGCGAGGGGAGGCTGGATAGGGGAGAATGGCCCCCACAGCTTTTTGTGAGAGGTTCCCACAGGTCTGCCATGGTGGATCTGTGTCTCTTCCAGGAGGTGCTGCCATCAACCAGTAAATCTTCCCCTCCCTGCCCTGTGCAGGGTCTCGGACAGGAGAGTGCTGTGTGCGCCTTTTCAGACACTGTTTGCTCCTGTGGCTTCCCAGAAATATTTTGGGGTGTTGATCCCAGTCCCCTGGCAAGGTTTGAGCCTCATGCTTTTGGGGAGAGCAGCTGGAGGGGTTCTGCATGACCTGTGGCAGATCTGGGTCAGGTAGGCAAAGTCAGGGGTCCCCCAGCAGCGTGGGCATGGCTGCTCCCCGAGCCGTGCTGCCCCTCGGAGAAATACTGAAACGTGGCTCTACTTGAGAGCCTCCAAAGTTTGGGAAGCACAGGGCTTCTCCTGTCTTGGTTTTGCAAACAGGTGGGGGTTTGCTTCCCCGTGGTGGTGGCCCAGCAGCTCCCAGAGATGCTAACAAAGGGTTGTGGTGCAAACAGACACCCCGCCACCAGCCAGGGAGGTCCATCCAGGGCTGTACATCTCTGCAAGGCACGCTGGCTGTAATCGTCCCGAAAGCCACTGGATGTCAGTGTTGATTGATACAGATGAAGCGGAAGGAATATTTTACTCAGCTGCGGAAAAACAGTGTGGATTTGACCCAGGTCTGGCTCAGACCTGGAGGTGAGATCTCAAAGGGAACCCATTTGGGGCTGGTAAGAGATTACAGCAGCGATTCAGCAGCCCAAAAATGTGTCTGTCGCAATTTGTGGCACCAGGGCTGGGCTTCACATGGCTGTGTTTGTGTCTTGGGGGGCCAAAAGCAGCTGAGGATGCCTCTGGACATCTGCCCTTCAGACATCAGGGCCAGCTGGGGATGTGCCGCAGCCAGCGTGCGGTTTTATCCCAGCTGCCAAGCGCTGGTTTGGGTCTTACTGGTCTTACAGCCTATCCTGTTGGCTGTAGGTGCCAGGGACCCCGTGGTGGTGGCACTGCTGGGACCCCAACCTGCTTCTGGGAGTTGGGCCCTGTGTGGAAGCCAGGCTGCGTGCTCACAGTTTGCTCTGTTCTTCTATTCAGTGCATAAAAATACACCTTAGAAGAGCATTACTCTGCCTCTGTCTTCACTACACATGCTCAAAAGCCAGATTTTTGAAAGGCACGTCCGTGCTTAGAGATGCAGACAGGCACCCAGGCGGCTCTGAGCAGCTCTCCAGGCATCGCACCCCCTTTTCAGGCACATAAACCCCCTTTGCAACCCAATCCTTTAAAATCCAGCCCCAAGCCTCACCCGTGTGTTTGTTGGGGCAGGTGCCTGCAGCCGGGTGGAGCGGCTGGTGCAAGCTCTGGGCGAGCCTGCACGTCGCAGTGCCGCCTGCGCTCCGAATCGAAGCCCTGCGCACTCTGCGCGTCACGGGGACCGTCTGCAGACGTCAGTGCAGCCTCCGTGCCCTCTCCGTAAATCCTGCACAGAAATGGGCTGGGGGTATAGCCTGGAGTGGGGTGAGCACGTTGCCAGCGCCTCTGCTTCCTCCGTGGCCGTGAAAAGGAGCAGATTGTCAAGGAAAAAGGGTTTATAAAGCCAGAAAAATTGAAAAAAGGTGGTAGCATCCCGGTGTGGTGGGTCCCGAGTGTGACTGGCCAAGGGATGATTTCTGTCCCCAGCCCTGAGCTGCTCCCCCGCTGATGGGATGGTGGGCGTGGGGTATTTTCGGTGGTGCAGCAAGCTGGCAGAAGGTACCTGCCCGTGGTTTCCCCTTCTCCTCCCGGGGTGCCAAACGCAGCGTGAGGCCGTGGGTCGGGATGGCCCCGTGCCTGCTGTGCGCAGGAGGCAGGGCACGTTTGGTGGCCGTGAGGGGACACGCTGAGGACTCGGGAGGGGGGAAGCAGGGATTCCATGTGCAGCAGCGATGCTGGTGGTCATTTTGGGGATGTGGGGTCCTGCCAGCTCCCGTCCTGAGGGTCCAGCCCCGTGACTGGCTGCAGGTCCTGGAGCAGCAAAGGCAGGAGGGGGAGCAGCCAGGGGGACCGGTGGTGGGCTCCGGGGGGGGGCACAGGAGAGAGATGCCAGCCTCCCCGCTCTCCCCTTTCCACGCTGCTGTCACTTGATGGCGTTGGCAACACAATCTGTGCGGAGCAGCCCCTGAGCTGTGCTGGCAGCAACCCACTGCCTCCCAGCCCCATCCAAAGGGTCTTTGTGGGGGAAGCAGCCGGGATGAGTCCTCCAAGCCCTCCTTGTCCTTGTGGGGCAGGCTTTGGAGCTGGCACAGCAAGCAGGGCTGGTGCAGGGCTCCTCTGAGCCATGCTGGAGCTGCAGGAGAGGTGCAGCTTTCCTGGCTTGCTTCGTACAGGACATGGCGAGGGTCCCTTAATGCTTGTGCTGGCCTGGGGGATGCAGGAATACCTGCTGGCAGAGCAGCTCCCATGGGAAGCACGTCCCCAGTCTCCCGCAGGTGCAGGAGAGGTGAGGGGCTTGGATCTCAACCATGGCTCTTCCCTAAGTCTCAGCAGCCAGGAGATTTGCCAAGCTGAAGTTGTGCTCCTGGAGCCTGAACTCACGTCTCTGGCAACGCTGTAATGAATTCCCGTTGTGCCTAGCTGGTGGAGAGCATCTTCCCCTTGTTATTTCTTGCTTGCTTTCTTCCCTAAGGCAAGATAATCCTCCCTCCTTCTTCCTCCGCCTGGCATTTAATCACTTCCCCGATATCTTGATGGCCTCTGCCACATCTGGGCAGCAAGATGACCTTCATTATCTCTCCCTGTGACAGGTGAACTCTCTCACCAGCTTCTGACTTTACAAGCCCTTGTTAGGGTGGTGTGGAGCGTCCTGGGGTGTGATGGCCTCCCCTGGGCTCGTGCGGGACTCCCGTGCTGGAGCAGCGGAGCTGGACGCACTCCTGCATCTCCTGAGCGTGTGGGGCTGCATCCCCCTGGATGCATCCCCCGACCTCCGTGCGCAGCTCCTGGCGTGAGCAGCCTTTGCCATGGATGGAGAGGAGGATTAAATCGGGAGCAGCCAAGGCTGTTGGCTGGGGTTCAGGAGCGTGCCTTGAGATTACTGCCCTCCATCATCTTCTCTGCTGCTGTTTTATTTGGGCAGGCTGCCCTGCCTGCTCTCCCCCATCCCGGCCAGCCCTGCTTGCTCTCCCTTGCTCTCCCTTTTCCTATCTTAATGCCGTTCTCCTGCCTGAGCGCTCGGCCAGCTTGTGGCCTTGATCTCTGCTATTCATGTCTTCCATGGCATTTGCATATAAAGGTGGTTTTAATAACGCAGGACTGTTAGAAAATGAGAAACTGATGTATTTCACTGCTGCTGTCTCCTCCTGGGCCTTGTAAATCATTGCATAAAGCATTACAGAGCCAGCCAGGGAGAACTGCTGCCTAGCAACTTCTCCCGATGCCCCAGGGGAGCTGGATGTGGCCCAAAAGCTACCTGAAAGGTCTCCTTTGAAACCCTCCGTCTTGGGGTAGATGGGCTGGAACAGATGAAAACCTGCTCCGGGAAAAAGAGTTGAAATGCAATTGGCAGAAGTAGCCACTTTGCATCTGAATGTCTCCGCTAAGCAAAGAGGAGGGATGAGTCAGCCTTTGCAGAAAGGATCCAGAGATGTGGGGCAGCAGAGCCAGGCCACCTCCCCCAAGTGCAGCGAGGACGCGGGCAAGGGCGTGGGAGGGCAGGGAAGGTGCCTGGCTCTGCCTGCCTGCTCCTCCTTCCCGCAGGCTGAAGGAAAACTCACAGGATCGTAGTGTTGTCCTGGAGAAACAGTTTGGAGGATAATGAGGAGAAAGGAGGGCCAAAAAAAGCTGTTAACCCCTTCTGCCCAGACTCAAGCAGTGGGTGGGTGCGGGAGCTGGTGAGGTGCCTGGTCTGCCCCTGCAGCATCAGCCTCTGGGGCCGCCTGTCCTCAACCAGGCGGGTTTAATCAACCTCCTGCCTTGCGCCGGTGGGGACTCGGGGCAAGTGTTTGCCTTGTGTGTTGCCACAAGGTTCTTGTCTCCATCCCCATCTCCACCAGTGGAGCTGTCAAGCCCGGGTCTCATCCTGTCCCGGATCAGCCACCGTTCCGTCCGCAGGGCTGCAGAAGCCGAAATGAGGTGGCAGGTGCTTGCAAGTGTTCTGGGCACTCGGGGCTCCTTGTCTGTTCTCGCCCTTCCACCTCTCTCCAGCTCGCTGCAGGTGACCCCACCGTCACCGACAGACCCCCGGGAAGATGCCAGGGCTGATCAACCGGACGACCCGCTCCCCGCTCCCGCTCACCGCGTCGGAGGTGACGTCATGTGTCAGCGGCTATGCCTTCGGGATGACAGCCTTGCTCACCTACCGCAACCCAGAAGCCCAGGCTGTTGAAGGCAAGTTTCAAGGGGTAAAGCTACTACAGAAGCCTTAGAGCCCGGGATAGCGCAGTGCTGGTTTTTTGTGCGTGCCTTAAACATTTAGATGCTCACGGAAAGATTAACCAAGCGTGTTGTGTCCTCAATTGTACCCTTCACAGTCCAAGGCTATGATTTTTTTAAGTGGGCAAAGGCCCAGGAGCATGCAGGGAAATGCCAAGAGGGAGCTTCCCCGCTGCAGTCCTGGCTGGTGGGTCCAGGCAAGTGCTTGGTGTTGCTAAAAACCCTTCTGGCTGGCAGGTCTCTTTGTCTACCCCTTGGATGAGTGCACCACCGTCGTTGGGTTCGAGGCGGCCGTGTCCCGGCGTGCCGTGACAGTGCAGATCAAGGACAAAGCCAAGATAGATGACACGTATTTTGACAGCTGCAGCCTCCCTGATGGAAGAGCTCACGATGGAAGCGGTGAGGGAGTTGGGGGCGTTTTTGTAAACGTGGCGAAGAAAACCAGAAGAGGAATGGGGAGGTGGCAGGGGGTGGCTGGCTGTCATATGCCATGGCATCAAGGGGGCTCATTTTGAAAGGCTGAGCCTTGGGTTGCAGTGCTCCTGTCCTTACAATGTCTGCCAAAAGTGGCAATCTCATCCGTTTTGGAAAACCCTGTTACTTCTGAACAGCCAGGGAGGTGGTACAGAGGGCTGGGGCTCAGGCTTTTTGCAGTGAGGGCTGGTTTGGGCATTTGATCCAGGGCTGACGTGGTCGCGGGAGACCTGGAGCGGAGCATTTTGCAGAGTCGTGATGCTGTGTCTCCCTGGTGTGGCGTTGTCTCTGTGCAGGAAGGATCATGATGGATGAGGACTTGGAGAGGATTGTTTTTGTGGCTAACCTGGGTGTGATTCCTCCCCTGGAAAACATCTCCATCTTCATCAGCACCTCTTCTGAGCTGCAGACGCTGCCCAGTGGGGCCGTCAGGGTCCTTCTGCCAGCTGTGTGTGTCCCCCGGGTCCCCCAGCCCAAAAAAAAAGCAGCCACCAGCTCCGAACGTATGAAAAAGCATGGGGTGGGCTCTGGCTGGGACTGACCTGGGGGGATGCAGCACTGGCAGAGCAGAAGCCTGCTGTTGCTGCAGGAGGCTGGAGAGCTGCTGCAGACTTTACCTCCAGCAGATCTGCAGCTCCTGGGGGGATATAACATGTGCATCATGGTGGTTTGGGTTCATCTCACTGGCAGGGACAAGCACTACTGTGGATCAGGGAGCCCAGAGCAAGGGAACAGGTTCTGCCTGGCTCGGCTGCTGGAGAACGAGGCCACGAACCCCTTCGAGTATGAGTTCAGCTTCCATCTGGAGATCCGTGGGCCGTGCTTGTTGGCAGGTAGGAGTGCCAGGCTGATTTATCACCACCTGAAGGCGACGGCTACGATCTTCCTCCTTCTCTGCCTCCCTGATGTGGAGTCTGTTTTGGCAAGTTAACTGCGCTGGGGTGGATTCACCAGTACCATGCTGATGTTGACAGGGGGCGTTGATAGGGCAGGAGCATCGCCCAGTCCACTTGGTTCCTGTCCTCTGCCATCTTGCTATCTCTTCTCCCTGGTCTTCCCCATCCTCAGTCCCTAACCGCACCTCGGTTTCCCCGGGCAGGTGTTGAGAGCCCTACGCACGAGATCCGAGCAGACGCTGACCCCTCCGCTCGCTCTGCCAAGAGCATCATGATCACGCTGGCCGATAAGCACACCTTCGACAGACCCGTGGAGATCTTGATCCATCCAAGTGGTAGGTGGGCTCTGCTTCTCTGCTGGTCTTGCCCCTTCCTGGGGTCCATAGTGCTGGAGACAGCGGGGTTAGCTCCAGTTTTGCACATATTGTCAGGGGCCAGGCTTCCTAGGAGATAATCGTGGACCCTCTCAAGGTTGTCCATGCTGCCCAAGCTCGGAGATATCGCTCTGTTTTCACAACTGAGGGTGCCTGCATCTCTGCCAAACCCGAGGTTTAGCTAAGGCTGTTCTTCACCTGATTCTCTGTATTTCCAGAGCCCCACATGCCTCACATCTTAATGGAAGAAGGTGATATGACACCTGCAGAGTACGAACGACACCTGAAGGGGAAGAACGATTTCATTAAAGGCACTAAGAAAGACCCCAGTGCTGAGAAAAAGGTGAGAAGCGAAAGCTGCAGGGTTTAGCTGAGGCTTTCCTTGGGACTGGAGCTCTGTAAGTAAATGATTGACTGCTAGCTTGCAGCACCAGATATTACACCAGCCCAATAAGCTCCGCAGCATCCTCCCTCAGAGAGGGGCTTCTGTGGAGGAAGAGGGGAAAACTCTGCGGTGCCTCTGATAAACTGAGTGTGGAAGAAGCTCTGAGATGGTTATTGTGTGTATAATTAGTACTAGTCTAGCATAGCATAATTAGATAGGTGCATTGTTATAGCATTAAGGGTATTATAATTATTGCAATGACATAGAATAAAATATTCTTTTAATTGCTCGGTAAATGTTTACGGTTTCTGGATAGCTGTCAGAGAGAAATAAGTGATTTTGCTTGGAATAATGAGCTGAACTGAAGACAAGGTAGGAGAAACTACTCTTTGTTCTGCTGATCAGCAAATAGAAAAAATATCTGCTCAGGGATTTATGCCTCATCTTTCAGCAATTCTGAAGCAATGAGTGACAGCCTGGCACTTCTGAGCTGCCACATCAGTGTGTCTGGGATCAGTGGAGTGGACTGGTCAGAGCCCTGTGCATTTCCAGGGTGGGCATCTTCACCTAAGGCACTTGTCGCACTTGTGTGACCACAGCCCCGGGCTTACTGCGCCAGCTCCCTGCCTCACAAGCACCGGTGTTCACTTCTGCGACCGGGGATGCTCATTTCCCCTTAAACTCATTCTCCATGTGTCTGAGCCTGGGCCCCCTGCTTGGCAGACGTCCCAAACCTGCTGCAGAGGTGCCTCCCTGGGCTGCCGTGAGTTCTCCTTTCACCAGAGACGCGTCAACCCTCTTCTCTTTCTTTTTGCCCTTCGCTTTCTCTGGCAGCACGATGCGGGGATCAGGACTGCGCGTGCTCGCCTGGCAGGCGTCTTCTCTAATTGTGTTCGGCGTGCGGCAGGTGGAACGAAATGAAACTCCCACGCTACGGCTCAGATGCCTCTAATTATTTCTGTGTCTTTAGCATGTCAAATTATCTAGGGAGGGGATCATTCCAGAGCCGTTTCCCTGCAAGAAACCGACCTCTTTGTCCCAGGAGGACTGGGAAGCAACTGCACAGAGAAGGGCAAGAAGCAGAGAAAATGCCCTGAAGATCTGGGTTAGATGATGGGCTGGAATTGCTGCTGCTCAGAGCATGGCACTGGGCACCTCTCAGCTTAAATGAATTAGCCCAGAAATTTCAGCAGTAAATGATAATTAATTCTCCTCCCGTGGTTTGTTATGCAAAACCCTGGGATGCCCGTCAGCTAGCAGGGTGGTGGGGACGGATGCACACTGGAATCAACTCTCGGTCGACAAGATCTGATTAGTTTACTGTAATTGGATAACGGGTGAAGGGGAACGGAGGGGAGGGAGGTGAGGAGAGGAGACAGTGTGGGTGAGATGCTTTCTTTTCTGGCTGATCCGTAGCAGCAGCTCTGAGGCTGTTTACTGAAGGCTTGCCTGTAAAATTCACTCTGGAGTCAGCGGGAAATCCAGGTTATGGGCTCATCCCGACCACGCAGGGATTTTACGTCTTGGGTCCCCAAAAGCATCCCAGGGAATGCTGTGCGTAGGTCCAGGGCCCACAATTCAGTCCTTGGACAGAGAGGCAGCAAGGATCCCTCTAGTCTGAAATTTGATAAATATCTGTGCTGAGAAAGATGTTAAACAAAATAATGTCATATGGCTGCAGGAAAACAGGGACAGAAAAAGCCCTTCTGGTTCCCAGCGGCTGGTTAATTTATACTGCAAAGCATGAGAGTGAAACGCCGGAGGATGAGCGAGAGCTGGGGTGACAGCGAGGTACTTGTTCCTGTGACCGGGAACCGTCTTTTCACAGGGGTCAGAGAAGCAGCACTCAGGCAGCGCAGCCGAAAGCGGAGCTTGTGTGTATTTGTCAATCCACAGGGACTCTTGAGTTTAGTGAGTTATGTGAAATAAAGATTGGTCGTTAGCTTGTAGATCTAGGAATATGACTCATGGCTGGAGAAAACAAGGCTGGTTGTTTGGGGTCCGGTTTACTCCTGGTGAAACCAGCAAGAAACAGCAGCCTTTGAAAGGAGGGGGAGGGGGAGGTGGGGGGGAAGGTAACCAAAGCCCCTGAGGACCAAGCTGCTTATTGCAGAGTGTGTTTCTGCACTGCAGATCCGGGGATGAAAGGCCACGGGCTGTGCTGCTGTGGGGTCCCAGAGCTGCCTGGAAAGCAGCGACGCGCTGATTCACTGCAGCTGAGACCGTGAACCCGGGGCTGCGTTAGACGCACAGAGCAGCAGATTACAAACCCATCGCAAGAGGTTTTTTCCAGTTTAATTTTATCGCGTTTTTAATGAAGATTGGTACTTGAAATAGAATGAGGGGAGATGCGGGGAGCCATTACAGCTGTGTGCAGCACAGAGACACGTATCGTGCGGGTTCCTATCGAACGATGTCCTGAGCCACTGGTTTGGCTTTCCAAAGCGTTTCAATCTGTACAAAGAAAAATGATAAAAGAAATGGGCAGAAGAAACAGCAAACCAGAGGTGGCAAGAATTAATTGAAGCAGTGAATACAGCATGCTGAGGGCTGTATCTGGCACTTCATTATTGAGTGACCACAGACAAAACCTCCGGTGCGACTCGGTGTGATAGTAAACTGCGCTAATGAACAGGGTTTTCAGGAGGGATCTAATGAAATGTTGGAGAATCAATTTTGCAAGGTGCTGTGTAGGGCCAGATCTTCAGATTTCTTCTCCAGGCTCTCATCTGTGCATGCAGGGGGTCTTTGATTTAGGCTTTCTGCCAGCCTTTGTCCCCTGGCCAAAGCGTGACCGTGGCTGGGAGGAGGCAGGCATCCCGTTCACCCACGGAACAGCTCCGCAGTGGGTACGGACAGAACAACCTGCATGGCAGCCTGAGCTCAGGTGTGGTCACTGCTGAGGCCAGAACACCCCATCCCTGCCCACAAAGGCCACACACTTACATCTTCGGGCATGCAGCCCTGCTCTGATTCCCCTCTGAGTGGAAAGGGGCAGAAAAAACAACCTCTTGAGATCTCTCCTTCTTTCTTGCAGATGGAAATCATCAGGAAGCGGCTGAACAAGGACATCCCCCACCACCCTGTCATCATGCTCAACTTCTGCCCTGACTTGAGGACTGTCCAGCCAGACCTCCGGAAAGCCCAAGGAGAGTTTATCTTCCTCGTAGACCGCAGCAGAAGCATGAGCGGCACAAACATCAACCGTGTCAAGGTAGCAGGCAGGAGGGGAGGTGCCTGCGTGCTAACGAGGGATGAATATTAGAGAGCAGTGGGGGTTGCTGAGTGCTGATGAGTGTTCATAATGAGGGGATAGGGGGTAATTATACGCTGTAGCTTTAGTCATCTCAACCGTGTGGCTTGTTAGGTACCTGCAGCGAAGCTGACTCTCCCCCGTTCTGTTCCTCTTCCTCTTCTTCCTGTCAGCACATCAAATGCAAAGGTGTTTTCTTTCCCCCCCTGGCTGGTATGCACGTCTTGGGCATCCTTGCCCTTCTCCAGTCCTCCCTGCCTCCGGGAGGGCGTGGGGTGATCGCTGCCTAGGTGGGAAACCTCCAGGGAGCTCCAGGGGATGCTTCAGGGGGACGTGCTGACCATGGAGACGTTTTGCTGATGGGCGCCTCTGTGCACCCGCAGGAGTCGTTTGAACACGATGCACAAATGCACACGATGCACAAATGAACACCAGCGGTCTGGTGGAGGGTTATGGGAGGTGTGCTGAGACCTCTGGATAAAAAAGGGGCCATAGGGAGGCCTTGTCATGATATTTTGTGGGTCTGAGGTTCCCCTGTCAGATATGACTCTTACCCAGCTGCAGGTCACCCCGTGAGAGCCGGGCTTGGCTTTGTGCCGCTGCCCGAAGGATCTGGAGAGGTTCCTGCCCCGAGCCCGCTGGGGACCACTCTGCCCATCAAAGGGGAAATCACTCTGGTAACTATTTCGTTACCGTTGTCCCCGCCTAACGCGCTTTGGAGGCCAGGTTGGTGCCCGACGCCTGCCAGCTGGCGGGTCTCGGTGAGAAGCCGCAGTCTCTGGCAAAAGCTCTTTTGGAAAGTTTCTGTCTTGATTTTTGGGGCCAGGTAAGCCCCGATAGCTTGACGAATATTGCATCGCCCTGAGTGGGGCATGGGTCTGGGCTGCCCCGTGCATCTTTGCTGAGGTCAGCGAGGGAATTGCAGAGGCAGGCTTCGCCTGAGGGGTTCGGTTGCATTTGTGGATGGTCTGAAAGATCCATCAAGCTGCTGTGTCCCCAGGTGTCCTGCTCACACCCTTTCCGAACACAAGCGCCACCCAGATTTGGACCCAAATGCTCCCCTAGTTATGGCAGCACCCCCTTCTGCAGGACTCACTGGCCAGGGTGAGCAGCAGGATGTGTCTTCATAGAATAGTTTGGGTTGGAAGGGACCATTAAGGGCCACCTAGTCCCACCCCCTGCAATGAGCAGGGACATTTGCAACTACCTCAGGTTGCTCACCGCCCCATCCAACCTGGACTTGAATGTTTGCAGGGATGGGGGATCCACAGCCTCTCTGGGCAGCCTGTGCCACTGTTTCACCACCTTCATCGTAACCAATTTCTTCCTTTTATCTAGTCTAAATCTGCCCTCTTTTAGTTTAAAACCATTTCTCCTTGTCCTATCACAACAGGCCCTGCTAAAAAGTCTGTCCCCATCTTTCTTATAGGCCCCCTATAAGTACTGAAAGGCTGCTATAAGGTCTCCCTGGAGCCTTTTCTACTCCAGGCTGAACAACCCCAACTCTCCCAGCGTTTCTTCATAAAGGGGGCGCTCCATCCCTCTGATCATTTTTGTGGCCCTCCTCTGGATCCACTCCGACAGCTCCATGTCTTTCCTGTGCTGGGGGCCCCAGAGCTGGATGCAGCACTGCAGGTAGGGTCTCACCAGAGCGGAGTGGAGCGGGAGAATCCCCTCCCCCGACCCGCCTGCTTTTGATGCCGCCCAGGATACAGTTGGCTTTCTGGGCTGCGAGCGCACGTTGCCGGCTCATGTCCAGCTTTTCACCCACCAGCATCCCCAAGTCCTTCTCGGCAGGGCTGCTCTCCATCCCCTCATCCCCCAGCCTGTATTAATACAAGGGATCGCCCTGACCCGGGTGCAGGACCTTGCACTTGGCCTTGTTGAACCTCATGAGGTTCAGATGGGCCCACTTCTCGAGCTTCTCCATCTTCTAGCCCATCTCCTTACCATGGGAACCAGAGGACGACCACCTCTGGCAACAAGGATTGGGATGCTGGGGAGCCTGAGGATGCCTGCAACAGGTCCCCTGGGGCAGGGAGGCTGTTCCCTGTCCCTGCATCCACCAAAGGGGCCAGGCTGAGGTTGTACCCCCTTCCCATTTTTTGGAGCCTGGGAATCAGGAGGCATCTCTGCTCCAGGCCAGATTTTTGCTTTCTGACCTACAGCATGGCCAGGTTTCAGCACCACCGTGTCTGCAACCTCCATGGAGGCTGGTTTGTCCCATGGGGATGGGGACCCTGCAGGGACACAGCCCTTCCCTGAGAGGTCCCGAGCTGGGACTTGCATCCACAGGAGGGCTGTAAAAACAGGAAAAAGGCTGTTCCCCTTCTGGAAAAATATTTCGGGGGAGATATCAGAGATTTCAGAGGAGATACCTCAAGGGAGAGCACCACTGTCTCTCTTTTGAGTCCTCCATCCTCATTTATGACTTGCAAATGTCAGGGACCTCATGGCAGGGACTGTTCTTAGTGGGTTTGGGTGGGTTACGCTTGATGGGGACATTTGCCTTGTCTTCAGCTTGCTGGGCGAGCGACATGGCAGGACTTGGACGTGCGTGGTGGGGAGAGCTCAGCTGCAGCGCGGTGCTGCTGGCAGGGACGCAAACCGGGAGGGGATGGTCCGGCATGGGCTGGCTGTGTGCAAGCCGGGAGGACGCAGTTCGCTGCCGAGCAGGAGGGCGCTCGGCCAAAGTGGCTGGGCTGGAAAGTTCAGGGGTTTAAATTTCCTGATGGGGCCGGGAAGAGCCAAGCCCATGATGTTGGGTGGGCTTGCTGGCAAAACTGGGCTAATAACTGAGAATTGACTTCTCTGGAGGCAAACATCTCTCCTTATTGAGTCGCTGTCTAGATATTGAGTGCAACAGGATCAAGATCAATATTTACCGCAAGAAGCAATAAATCTTTCGGCTTGCTGAAAGAGAAAGCAGGCAGCGGTTGCCCACTTTGGGAAGTGCTTTAACAGAAATATTTGGAAATGTGTTTGGTTTTTTTCCTTGTACTTAGTTCCAAGATGGGATGTCAACGTTAAGATTTGGAAGAGCCGGCATCCCAGGAGCCACCTGGGAAGCAGCGTTATAAATATATTCTCGTAGGTTTGAGATAACAGCTCGGTTTAAAGTACTCTGGAGCCTGTTAAAGGGCAGCCCTGTTCTCGTACATAATTTTGCTGGTTTGCAGCGCTCCAGCTCTGCCTTGCTGCCGAGTCTTACCGGGGTCGGGAACTGGACTGACCTGCCAGCCACCTCCCTGCGGCCGGTCCCAGACGGGGGATTTCTCTGCGTGCAGCTCCAGCGCCCACCCTCTGCTGTTACTTGGGTCTTGGCCGCTGCGTAGGACAAAGCAAGGAGGCTGCTCTTGCTCGTTTGACCTTGGCAGCTCTTCTCTTGGGGCTGGCTCTAGGGTTTCTGCTACCCTAGGCAGACTGGCAGGAGTCTGCCTTTATCAGCACATAAACAGAAAGCACAAAGCTCCTGAATGCTGCCAGCACTTCACTTTAAATTGGCCTCCCTCTCCTGCCACGGTAATTGCTCCTGCTGCCCCTGCAAGCCCAGGAGCTCCTTGGGTAGCCCTTGCCCCAGTTGTTGCTAACACAAGCTCTGTCCTGGAGTTGTCCACGGCCATCACAGATGTCTGAGACAATTTAAATTGCTCTTTCCTTATGTAAAGACCAGGAATAGGCAAGTTAGATAACCACCTCTGGTAAAAAAAATAGCTTAAAACTGTCTCTCCTGGTTATTTTAGTTGATGCCAGCTATGAATACAAGAGAATTGGGGATGGGGGAGGCTTTTCCTTTTGTGTAACTTAAAGCTGTTTGTTTATTTTCTGCAAGTTTGGACATTGAAATGCATCGCATGTCGCACTTCTCAATTTCACACTCTGCTTCTCACCCACTAGCTCCATGCTGCAGTACCGTATTGCAAGCACAAATTTAATCAGTTAAAGACAAACAGAGAAATTTGTTCAGCTCTTTTTTTTTTTTTTTTTTTGAAGGCTCCCCATTTTCTTCATGGCTTTGGGACTCAAATATCATTAAGGGACTTTGGAAAGAGCAGAGTAATATGCAGTGCTTTCTCGGTGCAGTGCATGTGAAAGAAGCAGTTGTTCTATTATCAAATGCAGGTGGGAATAAGGTGTGATGGCAAGGCAGGGTCTGGGCAGAGCTTTTACTGGTGAAGCTGGGCTTTTACTGGTGAAGCTGAGGCAGCCAGGGAGAGACCCAGCATGCCTGAGCTCTGCTTGCTTTCCCCCCCGCAGGATGCCCTGTTGGTCGTTCTCAAGAGCCTGATGCCAGCGTGTCTCTTCAACATCATTGGGTTTGGATCCACCTTCAAGACCCTCTTTCCTGCCAGTCAGACTTACTGCGAGGTGGGTGAAGGGGGAGCCACATCTCCTTGGTGCTCGGAGGGCGCTGGTGCTGAGGCTGAGGCTTCTGCTGCTGCTTTGGGCAGGAGAGCCTGCTCCTTTGGGCAGGAGAGCCTGGCCATCGCCTGCGAGAGCATCAAGAGGATCCGGGCCGATATGGGTGACACCAACATCTTATCACCTTTGAAGTGGGTCATTCGGCAGCCCATCCACAGGGGCCACCCCCGACTGCTCTTTCTGCTGACGGACGGGGCCATCAGCAACACGGGGAAGGTGCTGGAGCTGCTGCGAAACCACTCCTGCTCCACCAGGTACGGAGGGCAGCAGGGCTCGCCGCTGTGGGGGCAAAAGCCTGGCACGGTGGGGGATGTGCTTCTCCTTGAACACGGCTCCATCTCACAGACATCCCCACTTCAGAGACAGAAGCAGGAGAGATTGCTGCTATGAGCCATGGGAGAACCTCAAAGGGTTTGGAACAGATCCCAGAAGTTCAGATGCTTTTTAAACAATCAAAAGCAGGATAATTGGGCTGACAACTTCACAGGCTCTTGTCTGATGCTTCCTGCTAGGAGAGATTGACACATGAGCAATCTTCCTCGACGTTTTTTTTTTTATTATTTTTTTTAAAGCACATCTGGGTCTGGCCCCAGCTGCTTCCAGGATGGGGCTGCGCAGAATTGAATATGCTGAAAGGGAGTAATGTAAAAAGCAGCTAATTTGTGCATCGAGCTCCCAGCCTGGTTCCCCAGCCCTGATGACAGGCTGGTCTGGTTTCTCCTCTGCCTCTTTTTAAGGGGCATGAAACATAAGAGAAATGTAAGAAAACCTTATTTCTCTTCCATGCCTCAGACTTCAGAGCTTATCAGGAAAGCTACTCTGTGGGGTAGCTTTTTTTCACTGTATGGAGGTCTAACAGCTTCCCAGCTGTATAGGGCAGCCCATGCCTCGCTCTTGCAGAGGCGTGGTGGTGGGCCAAATGCAATCAGAGCCAGAGCGTGGTCTCGGGTGACCCTGGAAGGCAGTGCCCAGCACACCGCTGAGTCGTGTGTGTGGCCCCTGTCTCAAAAGAAGAGCAGAGCCTTTCTTAAGAGGGGTATGAGGTTGATCTAAGATTTGCAGCCGGCTGGGGATTAAAAACCTCTAAAAGAAACGCCCGTCGTGCCGATGCAGCTTGCTGCTGAAGGTGGTTTCTTCCGCAGCTCTCCACGGCCCTGGCCGAACGCCGTATCCCACCCATTGCCATCCCTCCTGGCTTCCTACTGCATCCAGCCCCTCCAGGCACTGCTCGCTCCTGCCCTCCCTGCCCAGGCTCCAGCTCAGCTCTGGGTTTGCAGCCTTCAGCCAGAACCAAATCCTGACTCATTGGGCTGGGAATCAGGGGAGCGGCCTCACCTGGCTTGTTCCTCCTTCCTTAAGAAAACATTTGTTTTAATTGCGAGCAGAGATAATTACTGGGTCCTTAGTGCTATTGACCACAGACATTCAGCAGGGAAAAGAGCTGAACCGGCAGCAAAGCAGCTTGTTTTTGTTTGCAGAGGAGGCAAAGGCTTGGGAGGGTCCTGCTAGGAAGCCCCTCGGTGTCACAGCTGAAGGCTGCTCTTTGGGGAAGGGATTTGAGATCTGCTGAGAGGAAGGGGATGACCATTCCCAACCCTCCCGCCAGCCACCTGAAAGAGGAGCTGGTTTATTTTCCTCTGGATGTGCTGGACAACTGTATAGCAGTGGGATAAAGCCAGGGTGGGGGTCTTCTGCCTGCAGGGAGTGGGTGAGCTGCATGGGGCTGGGGGTTGGCATGGCTTGCCCCCTGGATCCTGACGCTCCCTGTCCCTTTGCAGGTGCTACAGCTTCGGCATCGGGCCAAACGCCTGCAGGAGACTGGTTCGGGGGCTGGCTGCTGTGTCCAGGGGCACCGCCGAGTTCCTGGCGGAGGGCGAGAGGCTGCAGCCCAAGGTATGGCTGCCCACTCCCAGGGGACCACCTTGTGAGGCTCTAGCGATGCTGTGGGTCAGCGAGGGGGAGGCCACGGCTCACTGGCGGGTCTTATTCCCCATCCTGGTGCTGCCTTTCCAACTCCCACTCGGCAGCAGGTGGGTGAGCGGGAGGGGATGAAAGAGCATCTTCATCTCCGGCTGTCAGAGGGAGTGGGAGGGTGTGTTCACCCTCTGCGCGGGGATGGGAGCAGCGATAGCCGTGATACAGCAGCTTTGGCTTCAAAGGTAGCTGCTGCCTCAGACGCCGGCGAGGGCAGAGGAACCGGCATCAAAGCAGCCAATTAGTTTTGAAGTCAGGCTCAGCCTTGGTGTTGCTCAGGCGAGAAGTACACAGGGTCTGAGGGAGAGGAATATGCTGTGATAGCTTTGCCTATTAAGCCAGCTTTAAAGCGGAGAGGGGAGCCTCTTCATTGCCACTCTCCCCTCAAAGCCTGAGTAACCCGATGTGCCTCAAATACACCGTAAGAATGGCTCTGTCCCCTGGCAAAAGCATGGTGCCTAGCCCGTCATCCGCTGGATGACTAAACCCAGAGAGAAGTGGGTCTTTAGCTCCTAAATATCTCTAAAAAGCTGGCTCCTGTGTTCTTGATCTCAAAAGAAGGAGTTCAGCAGTCCACCCCTCTGCAGGAACCTGGTGCACACAAAAACCTCTCTAAGACAGAACGGCATCAGCATTTCTGATGTAAATTAAAAGCAAAGACAGCGAAGGGAGGGTTGTGTGTGTGGTTGTTTTTTTTTTAGAGAGCTATTAATAAAGAGCTTTGCGGGCTGTGCAGCTTGGTGCCTTCAGCAGTCTGAGGCATCAATTAATGGCCTTATAAAACACAGCCTGGTGTGTCTCCCTGCGCCTGTGAAAAAGCAGTGAACAATAGAGAACATTTGAGCTGTTCTGCGTCTAAATCTGGTGTTTGCTTCCCCTGGTGTGCAGGGAAGCTCTTGTAGATGGCTCCCCAGTAGGTTTCTCCACGAGATGTTCACGGATATTGCTCTTCTCCACATGTGTACTTGGCAGAGCACTGCTGATCTCCGGCAGTGGCTTGTGCCAGCAAGGACCTGTACCAAAAATAGCAGTGATGTCTGTTGGTGTGTGAGTGTTCGGGCTCGGGGCAGGGCTGGGGCTCAGGCAAGAGAAGGTCAACAGCTTTTCCTGGGTGCTGGAGGGGGAGCAGGGGATGCAGCCTTGCACCAGAGCAAGATACCTCCGGCCATAAGCTCCCACCTTGCTCCGAGCTGGCAACGTGCGGTGTGAGATCAGCCCTGTGCTTTATCGATATCTGCTCTGCTGCCCTTGGTATAACCGTGCCAAGAGTCTGGGGGTGCTGGGGTGGGTGTCAGAGCAGTCTAAGAGCAGGCAGGCTCCCATCTAAGGCCAGGAGAGGGTACAAATCAGCTGATGGATTTGTTTGGGGAAGCTTTCCCCTTCCCCTGTAACACACCACGCGTGCACCATGGCACATGCAACGCCCGCTTGCCGCATAACTGCTCCCCTCTGCTTTCTGCTTCAGATGATCAAGTCGCTGAAGAAGGTGATGGCGCCGGTCCTGAGTGACGTGTCCGTGGAGTGGGTCTTTCCCGAGAGCACCGAGGTCTTGGTTTCGCCCGTCAGCGCCAGTTGCCTCTTCCCCGGCGACCGCCTGGTCGGCTACGGCATCGTCTGCGACACCTCCCCGTACATCTCCAACCCCAGATCTGTGAGTCCCCCCTGCGCTGGCTGCTGGGGCTCTCCTGGGGGCAGCGGGTGTTGGTGTGCACGTGCACAAGTGGGGGTCTCAGCTCTTCGTGCATGGCCAGGAGGTGTCTCTTGCTTTCCTGCTTTGTCCTCGAGGGAGATGGTGGCTGAGACATCGGGGAGAAATAGGAGCTCAGTGGATAAGGGCGCTGGTGCACAAGCAGTGGCTCCTGTCGGCTGGGAGGGGGCTGGTGGATGCAGCGGTAGGACCTATTCCCTCTCTCTGCTTCCTCCCAGGACAAGAGGCGACGATACAGCATGATGCATTCCCAGGAGTCGGGCAGCTCTGTTTTCTTTCACTCCCAGGAGGAGGGAGCAGGCGTGGAGAGCTGGAACCACTCCCGAGATTCGGAGGGCTGCTGCCCCGCTGAGCGTGCCCTCGATCACCTGGGGGTGGGCAGAGATCCCGGGGGAGAATCGGACACGGACACTGGTCAGATTTTCCTCTGTACAAGCGTGGGTGTGATGCCCCTGTCTTTCTAATGAAGCTTCTGTCACTGCTCTGCCAATTTGCTTGTCGGACAAATAAGTCTCTTTGGCTGTATCTCTGCAAAGAGCCGGAGGGGTCTGCAGGAAGGATGACAGATCTCCCGAGGGTTGAGCAAGTCTATTTGGTTTGGATGTTTTATCCAAACCTGTCAGGAAATCAAGGGAAGCCTTGGAGAACTGGCTTCCCTGCAGATTTTCAAAGCAGCTCGAGCTCTGGCCACATAATTATTTACAAGCTTCCCAAGCTGCCCTCTGGTGCGTGGAGGAGGAGAGGAGTGAGCAAACGGGTAGCCCAGTGGCAGCGTCCCTGCACCTGCAAAGCAGTCGCTTCCCTGTAAGCCCTGATGTTGCAGGTCGAGGTCAGGAGAGGGGGGGAAATGGATCTGAAGCCCTGTCCCCAGGGTGTTGCCCCTCACTGTCGCAGTTTGGCTGGACATGCGTGTCAGCAACGTGTGTCGTAAAGCAGCCGGTTGCACCCCAGAGCTGGTTGCATTTCCGCGCTGCAAGGAAACCTCTGTTACTCACGGGATGTTGTTCCCTTATATTCAGAGAGGAACTGTGCTGTGCATCACCTCAACCTTGTCAAAAGCAATGAGAAATCATGCCTTTCCAAATGAAATTTTACTCTTGCTCTGACAGGAGAATGTCTGTGCTAATGAAATTTCATTAGTAAACCCTTTGTCTTCTCTAGGGAGGTTTGGGGAAATGCAGTCAAGCTTTTTCTGGCTGAAAACTGCTCAGACAAAACCTCCCCAATCTGCTCTCCTGACTTCCCCATGAGTTTTGAGTGTAGGCTTTTATTTCCTCTTGTGGTTTAGCTGCTTTTCTTAAAACTGTGTGGGTCTGAGCATGGCCCCCTCGGCCCCGGGACGACCACAGGGGTGGGCTCCCTGCTGCTCACTGAGAGCCAAGGGTGGATGGTGCTGGCTGGTCCCAGTCCGGAACGAAGCTGATCCTCTCTCCCACCATGCAGGAGCAGACATGAAGGCTTCCTCCAGGAGACGGGCATACAGCACCACCCAAATCGCTGACCACAAGCCTTGCAAGAAGGTACCCACGGCCAGCGATCCCGGCACGGCCCTGGTGAAAAACCCCCTTCGGAAAACCCACCTGCAGGACCTGCAGCAGGTCAGCCCTGAGCCCTGGCAGGTGGATTTCCAGGTATGTGACCCCTGGAGAGGCTCCGGCTGCAGGCAGAGGGTAGGGG